AACATAGCCATGGAAAGATCCACCATTTTTAAGTTCGGTAAACCATCTATTTCTATGGGCCATCTATACCATGGCAAACTGTTAGTCATAACCAGAGGGTAAATGATGTGAACCATTCTGAAACCCTCCGGTACTCAAATGTGGAAATGGAAAATCCCCGAACTACATAGAGGTTTATGCTCGAAATTTGGAGCTTGGAAAATAATCGGTATCTAAATTGAGGGATTTTTCCGGCAACCACCTTTGAGTACTGATGGGCAAGAGGTTGCTATTGGTAAGTTATAACTTGTTAATATCTGTGTCAACACACAAGGGGTGTTGAATCATGTTGTTACTAAGCAAGGAACTGTTGTTATGTTCTCTTCAGAACACTATTAACCGGTTCTTACTAGTATAACCAGAACCCCCGACAAAAAAAAAAAATCAACGTCATTTATATATTTATCAAATATGTCAACTCAGCAACCCCAAAACTTGAGTGGTTTAAAATCCGTATTTTTGCTGGTCATAATGTGGTTGCTATCTGGTTCTTGAACATAGCCATGGAAAATCCCAACCATAAATGGAGGTTTATAGCTGGGAAAATCATCTATAAATGGACCATTTTCCATAGCTATGTTAAATAGCCAGAGGTTATATCGGGGAACAACGGAAATAACCAATGCATCGCCTTCACAGCCGTTGGCACAGCCAACGCCCTGGCAGCCTGCCGCCTGAAAAACCGCGGCGCGGCAAATGCTCCAGGTCCAAACAGTTGGACATACTTGGTGGCTCATCCCACGGCTCGTAAATGGGTTATAACCCCAGTGATTTACATGGGATAAGGAGCGGGTTAATCCACTTCTAATTGGGGTGAACTAAGCCAAATACGATTCGTGGGATGAGCCACCAAGTATGGAGGTTTCCTGAAATAATATAGGAATAACGATCATGTACAATGGTTATATTGATATAGGAAATGGTATCTTGATATCATTTAGATCTAGATTTGGACCATTTCAATGGTTGTCATTATCATTATCATGGGAATATAATGATAATGATAATGGATGTAGGTATATTAACCATGGTTTTTGTTGGATATGTCAATATTTACCATTATATGGAGGTTTCCTGAAATGGGGGTACCCCTAGATCATCCATTTTGATAGGATTTTCCATGATAAACCAACCATTTGGGGGTACCCCCATGACTATGGAAACCTCCATATTCCCCGAAGATATTCCTCATTTTAAGTGCATTTCCCCTTGGGAAAATCAACAAAATTAAACACGTCATCCACTCAGCAACTCCAGGTTTTAGGGGATGATGGGGTTTCATGGGAATTTCATGAGGATTTGATGGACTGTAACGGGCTTTCCAGCTCACTTGGAGGTTGCTAAACATGATGCCCATTGATGCCCACTTTAAGATGCTTGACTCACCAGTCTTGTGGATGCAATCTCAACCATGTTGAAACACTGGGACTAAAATCAGGCATTTTATGGCGATATGTGGGGATATCATTTGGATACAATGGGATATGCAAACACTTTTTCAATGGCCATTCCAGGATCCTAAATTGGAGGTACCTACCATATATAAGGCCTATATAAGGCCTATGTAAGGGAATATCCCCACAAAATATGGCCTTATATGGTACAGTACCTCCAATTTAGGATCCTAATTCCCATTGACTTTTTTCCGGATCACCCGACGAAAGTACGTCTAAGTCATTGTTGATATGCGAGTGCCACTGTGTTTTTTTTTGCCATCAACCATGTCATGTTATGACTGGACGGTAGATCAATGTTGATCGGATGGGCATTGGAACCCAAGAGTCCATCAGGGATGCTCCTCAGAGGAAACCCCAAGAGGAAACCCATGGAAACCCTATAAATTCCCCAGTTCATTCCTGGATTTCCCATTGAAAATGGTGGATCTTTCCATAGTTTTCTGTATGTTTACCAATGGAACCATTGAAAAAAAAACACATCATCAACCAATTCAACTTTTGTACATTAAAGCAATCATCAAAGAACTAGCCCTTGGCACACCCCGACGTGCGATCCAAGTTACGCAGTAAGCTCCTGTGCCGGCGCAGGCGTCCCCGAGTCCCAACCACCAAAAAATTGAAAATCATTCATACAAGGTGAGGCCCACCCCCCTGTCGTGTTTGTTGCTGTGTAAACCCATCAAACATTGTTACATCTGCGCTAAAAACTACAGTTTTTACCACGTGATGTGCGTCAACTTGGCTATCACAAATCACCCACATCCAGCACATCCCCATTTTTTTGTTGGTGTACCATGACCACCAATTAAAAGGGCCACAAAACTTGCTCACCTGGCATCAATCCGGTGGATGTACTGCCCGCGTCTTGCCGGATGTGCTCCAAGTCGCCCGCCCTATGGAACATCCACATAAATTCCATCAGATCTCGGATTTTGCTGGTCAAGTCACAATTTCCGGTACTTTTTCCATGGGTTTTTCCGCTGCCATCACCCGGTTCTATTTCCAGCACCCGAAATCTGTGGGTCCCAAGGTCTTCCGTTTTGACCAAACAATGGGGGTTTTGCCCAAAAAACTGAGACCCTCTGGTAATCCAACATAGCTCTTGAAAATCACCATGTTTAATAGGTAAATAATCTATAAATGGGCCATTTTCAATAGCTATGTTAAATTACCAGAGGGTATATATCAAAATCCTCTGGTTCATACTCATACTTGCCATTGAATCCAAGTACCCCAATGGCTGGATGGTTTATAATGGACAATCCGCCAAAAACATGGATGATGAATAAGGGTCTACCCATGACTTGGGAAACCTCCCTATCAATAATGTGGGAGACCCACTGCAATAAACCTACCATTTTGGGATGGTGTATACCACACATAAAAATGGTGATGACTTGGACATGGTTTACTATTGGGTTTACCACATTACATTATCCCAAGAGCGCTTTTTCAGAATACATGTGTATGTCATTAGTATGTAAAGATATGTAAGCTACATATATATATGTGTACGGTAACTACATTTAAATATACGGACTTTAAAATATACGAACTGGTATTTTAGACTACCTCCGGGAAGGTTTTCCTTGGCCCGCCCAGCCATTTAAACATACGGAATACAATTCATTTAAACATACGGTAACTACATTTAAACATACGAACTGGTATTTCATAATAGCTCCGGGGCCTCGCGGTCTGGCCCGCCCTCCACATATTTAAATGTTGTTACAATATATATGTATATTGCTACAGTTATACTCACCTATATACATTATACATATAGTTATTACCTATGGTTAAAGTTTTTGTTACCTATGGTATATACTGTATATATATATACACATACATTTTGTGTGTATATATATATATGTGTACAATAGGTAACACCAGTTAGTGTAACCATAGGAAACTGGTTGGTGGTTTTAGCCATCTTGAAAAAATATTAAAGTCAATGAGAAGGATTATCCCTATATGAAATGGACAAATAAAAGTCATGTTCCAGACCACCAACCAGGTAAGGTAATTGTAATATTGTAACTATCTCCATGTTTTTTTCGAAAAAACATTTTTTCAGCATCATCCCAACAACCTTGCATCTGAAGCTTTCAACGTTTATTTTGAAAAAACAGTGCATATCCATGCCCTGGTTTCATCCTACCATCTTCCCAGCAGCGTCCTTTGCACTTGGCAGCGCAGCGTCGGCCGACGCAGCCGGCGGCGCAGTGGGACTTCGCACCTCTCGCGAAACAAATCGAGAAAGCGATGGCACTTGAAACGGGAAACCTTCCTGGGGTATGATCATAATATTCCGTAGGTAACTATATATGCATATATATATATATGTTTTGGAGCATTTATGGCATAATGTAGATAGATATAGATAGATGTGTATAGATAGATATAGATAACAATAGTTATAACTATAGGCAAAATATAGATACATTAGCAATCAATAGCAATCGACAACAATATAGAACAATATAGAACAATAACATGTGATCATATATGTACAGATATGCACAGTGTATCAACGATATATAAAACCATAGTTCATCATTAGTATAAGCATAGGTAAGGTAGTACCTATAGTATAACCCGGATTGCTTAATGGAAAATCATGAGACTTTTTAAATGGGTTGCATTAATGGGGTTTTAGACCACTGCATTTCCGAGTTGCCCCAAAATCTTCATGGAAGCCAAAGGGCGCCCCCGAACTAGCTAAGGGGTCACTAAACCCATATGGCATTGATGAGGGCAACCCCTTCATAAGATACGGCCATCAAAGCTGGATGATTTCATTTTGAACCCATCTGAGCTGGTCCAACAACACTTTCATGTCAATACACTTCTTTCTTTTCAGTTTTCCAGTTCAAGGTTTCACCACAAAAAAATGGATCAAACACGGGAAGCTTCGTGTAGATTCTCGTGGCATATTTTTTTGGGGGATATCACAGTCGAGAGCTTTGTTGGGCGCTTGCGCCCGTGGACAAAGATGCTGGTCATGAGCCCAGTAAAGGCCCCAGTAATCGAGGCCCTGATGTGAAGCTCACCCAACAAAGCCCACTGCATGTGGTCGATGACGTCCTGGTAAATTGGTAGATGAGAATTCCGACCTCCATCAAGCAATTGTCGCTTATATCCTGCGTAAACCCTAACATTCGCTGGCCAAATCCCCTTTTTTTCTCGTTGAATCAGTTTCAGATTAGAACCCTCATGACAATGTAATTCGCAGGTTTTGCTGCTGAAACTGCTGCTGTTGACCTCAAAGCCCCAATTTGGGGACTTAAATCATCTTAAATCCATTTCTTGATGGTTTTATTCTAGAAATTCCCTATGACACATTTTAGCCCTCATTTACTTGTCAGTTATCACTGCTATGGTGGGTACAATTAAAACGAGTCCTTTGACGTTCAGGGTATACTCATACAATCCCCGTCAATCCCCTGTCATTACTCCCATTGTATTCCCATTGTATGGTTCCCTGCGACTTCCCGCATTTTTTCAGCATGATCCCAGGGTTTCTTGGACTATTTCGACACCAAGGTTCCCTTGCTTTCCCCTGGGACCGGCACCGGAAGTTCCACTGCATTCCTTTCCACAGAAGTCGCCCTTGCAACCCTTCGCGCACTCAGCACCTGAGCAAATTCGTCAGCAAATGAAATGCAAATGGTGGTGGTCAATTTAGAAGCAGATTAAAGTCCTAAAGTAGCCATCCAAGATTGACTCAGCACTAATGTTTTTATTGCGACACAAAGCATTTGAAACCCTTCTCTTTAGTTAAAAAGCCCCATCACTATCGTGTACCAGTCACCTGTAAATGACAATGTCTCTTGGCTGTGCAGTTGAAGTTACAAAGGCTGTAACCATGGGATTAAAACCCCATAAATTGGGATATAACCCCTATACCTATGGCTATATATATATGTAATTATATATATCCACTTATAGCTGGAACTGCGCTTCCACGTCTGTTGATCCCTCCATCAACCGGTCAAATGGATTGCTTGAATCAGCAATGAACATCTAGCAGTATTTTTTGCGATGAACAGCAACCAACCAGCAATCTTAGCTGAGTACACAGTGGGGCCCCCAAGCGATAGCTAAGTTGGTGAACATACCTCCTTACGGTATTCATGGGGTTTCAAATGGTTAAAGATATAAACCAAGAAATGCCACTGGGGGGCCCCACATAGCAAGCATGTGGGATGCTATTGAATATAATGAGGAATTCCATTGTTTTATATGAGTATTCCGTGGATAATTCCACTTATTCGACTGAGGTGCTCTATTTATCAGATTAAACATCAAACTGCCAAGCTGGATTCGTTGGGAACATCTTCAGCAGATTTTCCATCGATTTTCCCAGAAAATATGGGGCTTACTTGGTGGCTCATCCACTTATAATGGGATAAGTAGGGTTAATCCACTTATAATTGGGGTTATAACCCACTTACAATTCGTGGGATGAGCCACCAAGCACTTAACCAATCCGAGAGCCACTCGACAAGTCTACTTCTCACCTCAGACACCCATCGATCGAGGAACCTGTGCACTTGGCAGCACAGAGGGCTCCAACACATTCGGAACCACAGGCCTGCTGCTCCTCGACAGACAATCTCCAGGAAAACATTGGGGAGAGATTGTGAGTTTCCATGAAACATATGTGAAACATACGTGAAAAACATATGTGAAACATATGTGAAACATGTGTCCTGATATTTTTTTAAGCCAAAAAATTAGGGAATCTGATCGAATTTTCCGAGTTTGCACGGGTTAGACAATGGAAGTTCCACTTTCCGCATGAAAAAATAGGGACAACACGGGGTAAAATCCCATGGAACATCTTGAATTTATAGGCTTGGAGGATGCAGGAATCGTGGGATTTTCACCAGACCAATGGCCATTTCAGGAACCGATTGATTGGAGGTACCTACCATATATAAGGCCTAGTTTTTAGGCCTATGTAAGGGAATATACCCACAAAATATGGCCAAAAATATGGTACAGTACCTCCACTTTAGGATCCTGGAATTCCCATTGACCAGATGAATTATGGAAATGGATGGGGAAATTTGTGATGACCATGAGGTGCTCTAGGAACCATTCATTTCACTCGTTTCAGGGTAAAGGAGCACACGGCGTTTCCGCACTCGCTCGGCCATGAGTGTTGCCCACTGCTGTATCAAAAAGAAAGTCTGCACCACGTCAGGTGAGGCAGCACCTAATGCCTGGAGACCCTCACGTAGATCAGCCTCGTCTGCAAAGAGGTGCGCAAGTGCCTCAGATTGCGGCGCCTGACCAGAATCATCGCCGAAGGAGAGGCGGACAAGCTTAGGCAAACTTGCCCAAAGCTCTGTCAGGCTCAAATCCTCCATGCAAGCAAAGTCAAGGGCTTGGCTAGCGCTTGGCATGCAAGTTCTATAGATGAGAAAGGTCTTATATATATATATATTTTTTTTGAAGGCAACTTCCGCCCCGCCTCGTGCGGGTACTACTGGTATTTACATATATATATATATTATATAATATGCGTGTATATATATATACACAATATAATGTCTTGAAATGAGTGGTTCCTAAAACAGATTGTAATTAATAGCAGTAGCGGTCAAGTCGTTTGACCCGTTGAGTTTGGCTGGGTTTGCTGTGTTGACATTTTTTGTTGTGCGTGCGTGCACTCTGCGAAACTGGTGTCTTGTTTCACATGTCACATTTGAAGCTCCACTTCACACTTCACACTTGACAGTCTTCACACTCCACACTGCACACTTCACACTGCACTCTTCACACTGCACTCTTCGCACTTCACACTCCACACTCTTCACACTTCACACTGCACCCTTCGCAGTCAACACTTCACACTTCACACTCCACACTCCACACTTCACACTCCACACTTCATATTTCACACTCCACACTTCACACTGCACTCTTCTTGCCCCACACTTCACACTGCACCCTTCATCTCATCTGAGCTCTTCTCACCTTGTCCCAGCTGAGCTCTTCTCATCTCATCTCTTCTCATATGTCATCTAAGCTTTCATGAATCACTTCCCAGTACTACTACAAAGGAACTTGCATGCGCAGTGCGCCAGCCAGGCCCGTGCGTGCGTGCTTTGTGCGAAGCTGTTGCAATGTTGTTGTCCAAGAACATGACCTGCGCGCGTCCCCGGTGCAATGCAACGTGAAGCAAGCACTTTCCTCACACATCACATTGCACCCTTCACACTTCACATCTGAGCTCATTTCATCTGGTTTCACGTCTTCCCATATGTCAGCTACGTTCTTCTTGGCTATTTTCATGTCATCTGAGCGCAGCTCAAACTTTCTCATGCGTTGGACCTACTTTCAACTTATCTCGGCGCTTCTGCACATTAGCAAGGTTGAGCGTAACTCATGTCGATTCTTCTACATGCCAAAAGGCGTAGAGTCGTGCTCCGGCTTCCTCCCCAAAACATAGCCCATGCAACATTCATGCAGCCATTACAATGCGATCTGCAACCACAGTTTCAGGAAACGCATAGAACTACACCACAGGAACAACCACTTGTTGCAAAACACATAGAAGGAACCAATCGCGTCCGGAACGACCGCAGCCACACCCGTCGCACACACGAGGTACCTTTCATCGTCGCCTGCAGCCACTTTACACGGAAAAACACAAGGTTTCGTGCTCCGGCTTCCTCCCCAAAACATAGCCCATGCAACATTCATGCAGCCATTACAATGCGATCTGCAACCACAGTTTCAGGAAACGCATAGAACTACACCACAGGAACAACCACTTGTTGCAAAACACATAGAAGGAGAAGGAACCAATCGCGTCCGGAACGACCGCAGCCGCACCCGTCGCACACACGAGGTACCTTTCATCGTCCCCTGCAGCCACTTTACACAGAAAAACACAAGGTTTCGTGCTCCGGCTTCCTCCCCAAAACATAGCCCATGCAACATTCATGCAGCCATTACAATGCGATCTGCAACCACAGCTTCAGGAAACGCATAGAACTACACCACAGGAACAACCACTTGTTGCAAAACACATAGAAGGAACCAATCGCGTCCGGAACGACCGCAGCCGCACCCGTCGCACACACGAGGTACCTTTCATCGTCGCCTGCAGCCACTTTACACGGAAAAACACAAGGTTTCGTGCTCCGGCTCCCTCCCCAAAACAGAGCCCATGCAACATTCATGCAGCCATTACAATGCGATCTGCAACCACAGTTTCAGGAAACGCATAGAACTACACCACAGGAATAACCACTTGTTGCAAAACACATAGAATTAGAAGGAACCAATCGCGTCCGGAACGACCGCAGCCGCACCCGTCGCACAGACGAGGTACCTTTCATCGTCGCCTGCAGCCACTTTACACGGAAAAACACAAGGTTTCGTGCTCCGGCTTCCTCCCCAAAACAGAGCCCTTGCAACATCATGCACCACTCCCCTTCATCATCACTTCCCTTCTTCACCACTTCCCTTCCTCACCACTTCCCTGCGTCACCACTCCCCTTCATCATCACTTCCCGTCTTCACCACTTCCCTTCAGGAACTGCAGCATTGTTGCAAAACGCATAGAAGGAACACCACCCTTCGTCAAGGTCAGTTCTTTCCTGATGTATTGTTATGTAGTGTAAAGTCTCACACCACCCTTCATCAAAGTCAGTTCTTTCCTGATGTATTGTTATGTAGTGTAAAGTCTCACACCACCCTTCATCAAAGTCAGTTCTTTCCTGATGTATTGTTATGTAGTGTAAAGTCTCACACCACCCTTCATCAAAGTCAGTTTCTTTTCTGATGTATTGTTATGTAGTGTAAAGTCTCACACCACCCTTCATCAAAGTCAGTTCTTTTCTGATGTACTGTTATGTAGTGTAAAAGTCTCACACCACCCTTCATCAAGGTCAAGTCTCACTCGCGCACCACCCTTCATCATAGTCAATTCCGTCAAGTAAAAGTCATTCGTAACTCGGAAGTATTGCTTCCCAACTTCCTTTGATTATATATATGTATATATATACGCATATTTAATCTGAGATACCCTGTAAATAACTATGTTGTAAGCTAGTTAGAATCTGGTATTCGAATTATAAAAGTAGTATATGAAAGTATATGAAAGAAAATGAGATATCACCAATTTTAACAGTAAAACGTCTTCGCCCAGTTGGAACCGTTTCGCCCATCCCCAGGCAGTCCCCGTTCACTCCGGAACACCTGAGATGGCACAGGCGGCACCAGCGGGGACCGACGGGACCGCGGCTTGGCAGATGACATTCGTTCAACAAAACAGATTGATGATATAAATAATATTAGATATATACATATATAGGATTATATATATTAATATCTATTAATATTTATTATATTTATTATATTTATTATATTTATTATATATATATATATTAATATTTATTATATTTATTATATTTATTATATATAATATATATATATTAATATTTATTATATTTATTATATTTATTATATTTTATTATATTTTATTATATATATATACCCCCAAGGTACCATGGGAATGGGAATGTAAAAAACAGTACCTATAGAATCCTATAGATATATAGGAATGTAATTGATGTAAATAATGGGAATGTAATTCATGGGAATTGTGAGCTTTTAGTTCACCCATCAATTACATTCCTATAGATTTTCAGGGTCTATGTTAGTTCATGGGGCTGTGGATGTACACACTTGAGGGTGCACAGTCAATGAGTTCCGGCTTTTGATGTGGATCGAAACATGACATTGTACTAAACATGAACACAATCTGTGGATCCAACAGTTTGTTTGCCGACAGGTGGATTGGATGCTTTGAATTCAGCTTGTGTGAATCTGGCTGAGGCCTGTTACAAACAAAACAATTTTTGGATATTTTTTGGATGATTGGGAGGTACCCCTAATTTAAGAAACTCCCATCTTGTCTACAGGCAGTAAAATCATTGGGATTCAGGGTGTTGTCCCATTAACTATACACCCATCAGCTGTTTGTGATAGAAGCTATATGGGCTTGTCTGAAAATAGGGCACCCCATAAATAGCTGGTTGATCATCTTTTCCCCATGAACCTAACATAAGCAATTTATGGGTGGACCCAATTTTATGACACACCCACATGCAATTTGTACCCTCTGGCAAACATACAAAAAAACTATGGAACATCACCATTTTCAATGGGAAAACTCACGACCTAAATGGCCATTTTCCAGTTCGCAAACTGTAAACGTCATTACCAGAGGGTAGCCATCACGTGAAATCCAAAAGTTGAAACAAGACTGTTGCTTGAAATCCACCAGGTTAGTGAGATATTTTCATGGGATTTTCTGATATTGCTGACCATTTTCAGGGACAAAACATAAATTACTGGTTGGTGGTTAACCTACCCCCCTGAAAAATATGAGTTCGTCAGTTGGGATGATGAAATTCCCAATTTATTAGGGAAAATAAAAAATGTTCCAAACCACCAACCAGACTAATTATAATACATTGCAACATCTATTAAACAAAAATAATCTAATTTAGATGGATTTTCCCTGAAATTCACCATGTTGGCTGCCCACATGCCATGCATTGATCATTCATAATCACTATTCATCATCATTAACCATGAATGATTATTGATCATTGCTAACCACTACCCACTATCAACCACCGATAACCCATTAATTCATATTAATTCCATCTCCCCATCTTCATTTTTTTCAGCTGTCTCTTCTCCGTGCTGGGCCGCCCAGCTGATAGGCGCACTTCCGTCCATTGCATTGGGCCGCACAGAGGCCACCCACACAGCCGGAACCGCATTCGTCGCCCTTGCACCTGGCGGCTGAAGCGGCGCAGGCTGAGAATGAAGTCGATCTTTGCCAAAAAAACAAGGGACAGATTTGGAACCCCAAAGTGCTTATTATATTGTTAATTATAGTTCTCTATGTAGTTTAGTATATGTCATATCTCTATAGAGACATATAAGTATACATTCAAGATATTTAAATGGACAGCTTTGGAACACCCCTAAAATCCCAATTGTTGATGTATGCAATCATATGTAATATACATATATATATATAACTGTATATAAATATATATTACAATAAACTGATTCCATGCTTCGCTTGTAGATTGTAACAGTTAGTGTACTGAGAAAGCCGATCATTGGGTTGCACTATGTTGCAATCGGAATCGGCATGATTTGTGACTGACATTGACTGACCAAACTGGATGAGTTTGTGCATATTCAACTAAAGAGGAGTGATAGCATCAAACATGGCTTGATGGAAAATCCACCATTTAGTTCAATGATAATCCCATCAAGATCCGCATTTGGTATGTTCCATTGACACGATTACCAAAGGTATCACTAATCTTGTCTGCCAAATGGATAGTGTCTTCCAGGGACTGCTAGTCTGCCAGTAGTCTGTGCTTCTGCATCTTGATTTGGAACTGGACTCTAAGAAACAACATATTATTCAATATTTTGGCTTCGTTATAAAACAAATTGAACATAACGTAAATCAAATATGATGGACGGCTTCTGATTCTCTGCTGACATGGTTTAACTTTGGAATCCGTGGTGCCGCAAGAAGATGGCTAAACACTGCCAATGAAACATGTTGTTCTTGCACTGTGATGGAAACGTATCCCTACCTTGTCAAGTACGCTATTGTGGATGCTGGTTACCCTCTGGTACACGTTTACAGTTTGCGAACTTCTTTTCATGGCAATTCATAGTGGATTTGCCATGATTTGCCCAGCTGGAAATGGTGATTTTCCAGTTCATTGCGTTGGATTTACCCATTGAGTGGTGATTTTCCATAGTGTATTTACCCATTAAAAATAGTGATTGTCTATTAAAATATGGTGATGTTCCATCGTTTTGCGTATGTTTACCAGGCATTCGGAAGCAATCCCCTTGTAGCGCCAAGCGAGCTCGCAACGCTTACTCGCAATTGGCCTTTTGAAAAAGATTGGCTCATTGGGTGAACAATTGGAACTTTGATATATCATTGGACTGTCCACATATGTATATGTATAGTGTATATATATTTATATGCCATACATCTATATATATAATATTATATTGAATAATATATATATAACTATATATATATTAAATTGTATACATTTATGCACAATCTATGGCTTAATGATAACCCCTATCAGCCCTATCCACTGACCAATACGACGAGAAAATGATACAATGTGGTGCTCCCAAAATTATAACTGGGTCTACAACCCCCTTGAGTATAGACATGTCTAATATAATCAAACCCAAATTATTGGAGTTAGAAACAAACTTAACTATCTTAACTATCATAACTCAGGTATAAATCAAAAATAGTCATAAATCCCATTGAATCACCGTTGTTTTTGGGCACATCTCATTTTTCCATCAAGAAACTGTTTGGCGCAGGTCTGGCTGTTTCCGCTACCGCTGGTACAGCCGAAACCGCAACGTTCACCTGGGAACACGACGAGAACCACGGGGGTGTCGGTGGTTAAAATCGATGAAAATGGGGAGATGGAATTCATGCTCGATGATGAAGATAAACGATTGGTTAATGATGGTTAATGATGATGGTTAATGATGATGGTTAATGATGATGGTTAATGATGATGATTATTGATGGTTGATAATATATCTGGATGGTGGTATACCCAACCCCCTGAAAAATATGAAAGTCAGATTGGATCATCATCCCAACTATTGGGGAAAAAACATGTTCCAAACCACCAACCAGCATGGCTTATTGCTGGTTAAACATGTGGTTAGTAGTGGTGGTTATTGGTGGTGAATAGTGGTTTGTTTAGTGGTTAGTAGTGGTTAATGATGGTTAGCAGTGGCGAATCATGGCTTATTGGTGGTTAGCCTCTGGTAAACGTTTACAGTTTGCAAACTGGAAAATCACCATGTCTAATAGGTAAATCAACGAATTAAGTGGCCATGTTCAATAGCTATCTTAAATTACCAGAGGGTAACCATGAAGAATGGAACATGATATGACCAATTATATAAACAAATGTGATTTTAATGGGAACTTTCATGAGGTATGCATATCTAATCCGAAAACAACAATTCAAAATCCAATTATGACAACAGTTATGAGAAGCATAGGATCGCGGGCACGCCAGTGTCCATGTTGGTCATAACATGGTAAAACATGTTTTTGCCATGTTCTAGTAGACTAAACCGACTAAACCTGTGCTTCTCCTGGTTAAGAATCATAATTTCCTATTGATGTTGTTGCTAAACCATCAGCTTGATGTTGACATCCCCAATTTTTGGGGGTGTGTATCCCAATGCATTCCATATTCATCATTTTCACCAATTATATACTGAAATGGACATCTATGAGTACCGCCCATTTTCAAACACATCCATATATATATATATATCCATATAACACGATTCGTGAATGTTCACCCCCTAATATCACATAGTACGATCTAATCTCTAATATTGATGGTTGAATCAGCATGTGTCCTTCTTTTTGATGGTGGCATCGACATTTTTGTGTGATGTTTGCCATTTGTTATCTATTATTCATGAGTTAAATCACAATTTTTGATTGGTTGAATGCCAGTTATCTTTAAATACGCGAAAAAAACTCCCTAGTCTTCTACAATAGGTTTGGAGGAAAACCGGCTCAGGAAACCTCGATTCGAGTGGCTAAACTAAACTCTCCATTGCTTCCTGCAGATTCCCCCACTAACAAAAAAAATCGGTTCGATTGGTTACATTGCCATTGCTTGTTGGCTATGTTTCCATGATATCCCATGATAGTCCGATACAAAAATGTTGTTCATTGGTTGAATAGTTGAATTCTGATTTTGAGAAAAGATTACTTGATGGTTAATCTCCAATGTCCACCCTTCAACCAACAATTGATAAAATTATATCACCCTGGTCTTGACAAGGTGAAAATTCCATGGTTGTATCCCCATGAGTAATTTTTGTATGCTGAAAACTTCAGAATTTGACCAACATTAAAAAAAATCAACCCATATCGAACTAATTTTTAGCAAATAACAAACTCCTTTTTCATCCATGTGTCCATTAAGATTGTGGTTTACTTTACTTACAGGATGGTGCCCCCTAGTTATAAGTTGGTTTATAAGCTCCAAAAACTATAGTTATATCTGCCATAAACCATAGTTATGGGACTTATGTTCACCAACTTAGCTAACGAACTGGGGCACCACCTTGTACATATTTGTGTCCAAACTTTTTTTGGTGCCGCCTTCGCAAAGCTCAGCGCAGCTGCTGCCCTCGCAGCGGTAAGCACATTCCAAACCTGGATCGAAGATGAACAATTCCCACCAGGAGTTAGATTTAACAATTACAATGATATACATTTAATATATTATAATATATTATAACTATATATATTATTTCAAACCTTAGTCTCTTAAATTTGGATTCCTGTTGATTTCATATGTCCAGGGAAAGAACTATGGAAAGAACTATGTAGCAATCCATGGAAATAAGGGGTGTTTCCACTAAAAATGTCACCCAATGAAGAAACCCACCACTTTGATAGAGAAACGCATTGCTCCAAGTTCTTGGACAAAAAACCTTTCAACATCAAGTTAGATGTTACATACAAATTTCGTATTTGAAAATATTGGTCCGTAAGTTGGAAAGGAAAACAGTATACAACAATATACAACATCTGTGTAATTCGGGGCCCCATATTTCTTCAAAAAGGAGAACACCAAAGAATGCATTTGCGCAAGCTCCAACTAGAAAAAAAAACTCATAAAAACAATATTACGATGTGACCCTGTATACTGTAAAATTGGTTAACTAGTGCATTGATGAGTGTATGTATGGCTGTGTGCTCATGTGCATGGATGAACTGCAAATGCAAATCCACAGTTTTTAAGTATTGTTTTCGGTGCTGCGAAAACCACGGTAAAACTTAGGTAAAACATGGTGAAACAAATTTATCAACTGCAAACGGAATCCTTCAAAGATGTGTTACTGTATTTCTGTCGTTACGTTGTTGTGCATTGGTCCGTAGCAGTGTTGCAGTAACAGATTACAATCATTATAAATATGTCATTTTACCCAAATACAACGCTTAAACTTTATTGTTGCGTTTTATACAAACAAACCCCGTCGATATACTTCCAAACTGTCAAGCATACACGAACAAACAAGAACATATAATTCATCTAAAAACTCAAACAGTCCTATATAAATCATAAATACAAAGCAAGTAAAGTAAGGCAAACATCAAAACATACTTATAAAGCGTTAAACAGTTGAAGTGAAATCGAGAAGTAAAGTCAAAGGTATGTTACAAGTTAAAGGTTCTAAGTTCTAGTTATAGGTTGTAAGTTCAAAGTTAAAAGGTTACAAAATTATAAGTTACACAGTTTTTAGTGTCAAGTCATAGCTAGAAGCTCTAAGTTGTAAATTAACAGTTATAACAATGTGTTTCAATTTTAAAACAGTTCCTAAACCTTATACATTGATTTATTGAAGTTTGATAGTCAAGAGTTATGGATTATGAGTTGTATTTTACAAAGTAGCTATAAGCTACAAGTGTGTATATTTGGTTTTATCAAGTTATATACAAGTATAAAAGTAAGTTAACATATAAGCCATTATTTGGGGTTTGCAGAACGGTTCGGAACGGTTCCGGGGATTTCCCCAGAACGGTTCGGAACGGTTCCGGATACTTCCAAAACCTCAGAACTATTTAGAACTATTTAGAACGGTTCCGGAACGGTTCCGGATTCAAAGCCTATAGACCCCAGAACGGTTCGGAACGGTTCCGGAGACCTCCATATAATAGCATATGTTAACTTGTATAATAGCATATTTTGACTATATAAGTATTTTACTTTAATACAGAGAGTTTGAACAAATAAACACATACTAGTACCATAAGCAATGATGATTCAACACAAGCGATACTTTCAAAGGGATATTTCAATACAAACTACACAGTTGTATGATTTTGTTAGAAAAGATTCCACAGAACAGTTTTCAAGACAGGTAAGATTTTGAAAGGGGCCACGCCTTCCATGAACAAACAGCTGAGAAACTTCCAGCCTTTTGTAGTCTACATCCAGTTTCACCTTCTCCCTTGTGCTCAGCATGCCTTCGCACTGCCTGTTCAAAGACTTAGGCGGAGAAGTTGCCTTCCCTTTGTCGTTTTTCTGACTCCTTTCTCTTGTAGCCTTGGCCCTTGGAGCCACAGGGCGGCTCTTTGGAAGGTTTTGAAAATGCGAAACAGGAGGAACTGCTCTTGACCGTTTTTTGGGGGGGTTTGGAAGCTGTGGAGAAATATTTCCGTGCAAAGTTGAGGTCTGCAGAACCGTTCCGAACCGTTCTGGAGGTCTGCAGAACCGTTCCGAACCGTTCTGGGGACCTCTGCGCTAATAAAATTGTCACGTAAATTGGTTCTCTGTGCCAAGAATCCCGGGAATAGGAAGGCACGGACAAGGTTGAGCCATTCCGGATGCATTAGTCCCAACCTGAAAGTATAACCCATCATCACCCTCAAGAACCCCACCGCTAGCGCTATATATATATATTCTGAAAAGTATCAAATCATGGTCCAAGAAATTATCGGCAGCTATATACAATATAGTTTGTTTCTTTTATGGGTAGTAGCACGGTAGTAGCAACAGTCTTGCCAGAGTGACAAAATACCAACAATATAGCCTGGATGTTGCACTGCTGCCGCTACTGCATATTTTTGATCCATTCCAGACCTGGTGGGGAAAAAGACAGCAATGGGAATGCAGCCAACAACCAGCATTGCCTTTGTTCTTTTTTTGAAAAGGGAAGTCACATAATCCCAACAGCCTGAACACATTGCAGAAGCCAGCTCAGCGCGCCCAAACACACATGGACTGCCTTCCAAATAATTGAAATTACATATTGATAGAATTCGACTTCAGCGCCTGTTCCTTCCACCTAAGTATTTCTCCAATTGCGCTTAAACCGCCTGAATCTTCCCTCAAACAAATGCAGCATCATAAATTAAACCCACTATCTGTATGCGGGTTGTGTATTTATTCAAGGTTTCAAGTATTTGGGGCAAGGTTGTTAAGTAATCAAAGCTGAATTTAGCCCAGTCTCACACTAGAAAATTAGTTAGCTGCAAATAGAATTCCACTTCGTCGTTTGTTTCTGTCGCCTGAGTATGTCTCCCATCTTGAAAGCAAACCATATTTTCACCCAAATGCCAGCCCCAGACTAGAATTTGGAATGCATAGTCTACTTAAGCGCACATAGAATTCTACTTAGGCGTCAGCTTGTGACGCCCAAGCAAAATTCTATTTGCGCCTAAGTAGATCATGGATTATGTTTTCCAACAGCCCCAGACTAGATTTCTATTTGCGCATAAGTAGATTATGAATATAAATTATGTCTTCCAGCAGCCCCAGACTAGAATATGGTCTAATTAGGCGCAAATAGTAATAGAATTCTACTTAGGCGTCAGTTCGTGACGCCTGAGCAGAATTCTTTTTGCGCCAAAGTGGATTATGAATTATGTCGTCTAACCGCCCCAGACTAGAATTCTATTTGCGCCTAAGTAGATTATGAGTATGAATTATGTCTTCCAACAGCCCCAGACTAGAATTTGGAAGACATGGTCTAATAAGGCGCAAATAGTAATAGAATTCTACTTAGGCGTCAGTTCGTGACGCCTAAGCAGAATTCTTTTTGCGCCCAAGTAGATTATGAATTTTGTCTTCCAACAGCCCCAGACTAGAATTTGGAATGCATAATCTATCTGGCGCAAATAGAATTCTACTTAGGCGTCAGTTCGTGACGCCTAAGTAGAATTTTATTTGCACCTAAGATTACCTAAGTAGATTTAGTCTTCAAAAGAAAGACCGAAACATAAGTTCACCCCAATCTCACAATCAGAATTTTATATCTATAGACTGTGGATCAGATAGGTATAAAGTATCCATGGCAAGTTTTTGTTACTAGCAAAACTGAATTCATCACCGGTCCACAATACAAATTCAATTTAGGTCAAGTACTTCACGACTTTGAGTGCAAATCCAGATTGATGAATCTGGATGTGTCCTCGCTGTGTGCATTGTTTTGTTTCTTTACTTCTTCAAAAGCTTGCTAATTTTCCCTTGACATGGTTTCTAACATCACCTTCTATAAGATATCCTTATTGCCCTGGTTTCTTCCATAGTCCCTTCCATAGTTCCCTCCATGGTCCACAAGGCCCACAGGTTAAGAGGCTAAAGTTTGAAATAATATATATACATATAATTATTATTATTATTACTATCATTACTATTATTATTGTTTATTATTATCTATTATTATTTATTATTATTTATTATTATTATTATACCATTAAAGCTAGGAAGTTAATGGTTACTAACAAGGCGCTGAATGGTGCTTAATAGTCCTGATTTTCTACATGATGCCTGCTGGTTTATGTCTCGATGAATTCGGCCCTGGACCAGAGAGACTTGACGGTCTCGGGGTCGGCGCTGAAGAACTAAATGAGTTTTTTCTGGGCACCCAGAAATTATGTTCAAGGTTTTTTTGAGTTCTAAAACAGATTACAGACCATTCCGACTCTTTGAAATTCCAACAGTTGGATTGGTTATTTCAACGCAGAGAACTTACCCATGAACAATGCCCAAAACCTTCTGTCATTCCATCATATTGGCTTCTGAATAGGCAACTTCCAGTCTTACTGGATAGTATAACCTCCAAAAACAAATTATCAAACCAACCAAATGTTCAATAAACCATATACTGGTTGGTTTATAATTGATTTTCACATTTTCAATTAAACCATCATTGACTGATATGATCAAACCAATAAACCTTCAAATCAACCCAAATTAGACCCCGTTACCCCGAAAAAAACGTTTTTGACTTTGTAAATCCAGGCCAAAACCACCAGATTTTTACGTCACCACCAGTGTTGAACACGGGCTTCCAAGCCGTTGCACTTGGTTCCACAAGTGCCCACGTCCTGCAGACATTTTGAGGCGTGGTAGCAACACGGGGATGTCACTGAAAAAATTGGGATTCCTGGATTCACCATATTTTAGCTGGGAAAATCCACTATTTCGACTGGGCCATGTTCAATAGCTATGTTAAATTACCAGGGGGTAGATATGACATGATAATTAATGTTAATTACTTGTTGGTGGTATACCTACCACTCTGAAAAATATGAGTTCGTCAGTTGGGATGATGAAATTCCCAACTGAATGGAAAAATTAAAGATGTTCCAAACCACCAACCAGTATTTGATTAATGTTAACTACCCTCTGGGAAACGTTTACATAACTATGGAAAATCACAATGTTTTAGCTGGGAAAATCCACTATTTCGACTGGGCCATGTTCAATAGCTATGTTAAATTACCAGAGGGTAGATATGACATGATATTAACACAATTTCTCAGATAGCATGTTAAGTTGGCGGGGATCACTCATAAAAAAAAAAAGTAATTCTTGGTACCCTCTGGTAATTTAACATAGCTATTGAAAATGGTGATTTATAGTGGATTTACCCATTGAAAATTGTGATTTTCCATAGTTATGTTAGTTTACCAGAGGGTAAACTGGCTGTATTGGAGGATGCTCATCAATCCAATGATAGGAGTTTGAATGCCATTTTGCGTAGGGATTCCTCTATGGGATGGATGCCAAGGATGCCTATTGCTGGTAAATCATATTGCTGGTTCAATCCCCATGACAGAAATCCCATTCCCCATGATAGTAATATATGTAATATTAAAACCATTACCCATTCTATATCATTCCATATCCCATTCTTTTTGTTGGTTTAATCCCATACACCATGTAAGTTGACCATGTTTTTTTTGCTCATGATCTGACATGAAAAATCCTAGTGTTCAGGTCGGGCAGGAAGCTCCCTGGGCACCATTCCAGGGAGAACAGTGAGGTCGTCGTTCTATGCCCAAATAGGATGGTGAAATCACGAACAAGACCAACACGTGAATCGGAAGAACATATCCTCTGGTAATTTAAAATAGCTATAGAAAATCACCATTTTTAATAGGTAAACCATCTATTTCTATGGGCCATTTTCCATAGCTATGTTAGTTTACCAGAGGGTACTAAAAAGGACTCATGCAAAAAAAAAAGCTGTTTCTAAAAGGAGGAAAACAGTATGTCACATACCAAACTGGGGATTCAAGATGATTCAAGCAGAAAAAACGTGGCGGATAGCACCCAAAGAGACTCATTGACATGACCAACATCAATGGCCATGCAATAAATTGGAGGTACCTACCATGTATAAGGCCTATATAAGGCCTATGCAAGGGAATATCCCCACAAAATATGGCCAAAAAAATGGTACAGTACCTCCATTTTTGGATCCTGAAGATCTCCCATTGACAACACTGCTAAGGATTTCACTCCAAACCATCTGTCAAAACCACCCAATGATTGTTCAATTGAACGCCAGCAACTGCAACCTGACCATCTCCGAGAGTAAAAAAACTGGGCCTCTATTCCCATTGAAAGGGGACATGTCCAAGCACCATGTTTGAGTACTGGAAGGTACTTCGTGGTTCATCCCACTTTGTAAGTTAGATCTCTATATAAAAATATGTATGTATGTATTATAAAAATATATATATATTATGTATACATATATAGTGACAAGTGGGATATCTCGTTTTTTTTTCCATGGTTTTTCCAGTTACGACTGGGGGTACCACACCTACTAACCCACGCTTCACAGCTGCCTCGTGGCTTCCCTGGCAACGGTAGGCGCAGCGGTCTCCGGTACACTCGGCCGCGCACATGGCGCCGATGCATTGGAAACCACATTGCCTGGCCCAGTTACTTGGCTAAGTTGGTATATATATATATGTATACTTCAATAAACCATCCCCCAGTCATCACCATAAATAGGTGGGATTCAAAGCATTCCCAAATGGTTGGTTTATGACACTGTTTTACCCACATTACTCAGCAAAATTGGTTTATTTCACTAGGTCAACTGTTGCGTTTATGGATATTTCTGGATGTTTATAACTTATAACTATGACTGGGGGGATTTATAAACAAAAACAAATATCACTAGAGATCACTAGAGGACACAACCGGGCACAATTTGGGCCATTGTACGTTTTCAAAGATGGTTCAACAACAAATTCAGTTTCGGGCGACATCTCGCCATCCTGCCTAGATGAAATACTGGATACATCCGATTGATATCCCCAGCATTGTGCTGCTGAAGCTACGTGGTCAATTCCTAAATCTAACCTCTTAAATCCATTGCAAAGGTCCAAACTTTTAAAGGCTTACCCTCTGGAAATTTAACAGTTTGCTATCGAAAATGGCCATTTAGTTCGTTGATTTTATCCATCCAAAAATGATCATTTTCCAGTTCGCAAACTGTTAGTTTACCAGAGGGTAACCACCAATATGGAGATATAACATCATTATTAACCACTACTAACCACTATATTTACCACTCATGTAGATCTTCATGTTTTGGCTGGTAACGATCGAATTTCTCTCCAATCCCGTACGTCGCCTGCCCTTGCACTGGTAAGCGCAATGTCCTTGGCTTCCTGCAAGGGGCTGGTACGTTCTCCCCTATTGGAATGCCCATGGGAAACTGGAACATCCCGACTTTCCATAAAATCATGTACCCGCAACGGTAAACGTCTACAGTTTGCGAACTTGAACATGGCAATAGAAAATAGTTGATTTACCCATGAAAAATGGTGATTTTCAATAGTTATGTTAAATTACCAGAGGGTCCAATATGGGATAAGATTGGAGAATATATTATAAAACGGGATACTATAATTCTATATAACTCTGATATAATAATCAAAACAATATAGTGTTTTACTCCATTGTCAGATTTAACTTAGTATGGCCCATGGAACATCCCAACTTTTAACGGAGACTGAACGACAGGACAATGGAATGGAGGTTAGCTTCCAAAATGGTAGTCCAATGGATATTATATAACCAATATTGACCAAAGATTACGGGCTGCTGGTTTTGATTTGAAATCATGTTTGGGATTAACTCATTCAGAATAGGGATTTAGGTGGGAAATATGTACACATATATATATATATTTACATGGGGCATTCTGTAATCGGATGCATAACCAACTGTAATCAAAACTAGTGCGAACATGTAGGACATCGAACATATTTTGTGTATCTAAAGTTAGCACTGATATGGAAAGCCTTGGGGGAACCCTAGCTGCTTGGTGGTTTTAGAATATTTCATGTCAGGGGAGTCGAACAAGTCAACCATGAAGATGGCGATGGAACACCTCAACTTCATGGGAAATATGTAAAGATATGGGATACTGGGGAGGACCCCTGGGGAACTATGGGATTATAATTGTTAATAATGGTTAATGATTGTTAATTATGGTTGATATATGATGATATGGGATGACATATGATTGATGTACCCTCCAGTAAATTAACATAGACCCTGCCAGTATTCGGGGTTGGAAGACTAGTGAAACCACTATAAATTGGTCATTTTCAGGATCAACAAGTAAATTTTCCAGAGGGTAATCATCGAAATCCAAATGGGTAGAAATTTGCCAGGTTGAAGTACTGGAGAGCAAATGAGTGTTTCGTTCGAATTGTTTATTCATTGTGTCAACCAAAACTACTCAATAGACTTATCTGCGTGTCTACATAGATGTATACATTTATATGTATGCAAACATGTAAACTTGCATTAATCAATGTATAATGTACTTGATGACACTGTGCGTGATCATACCAAAATATACTACCCCAAAGAAAACGGGATTGTTTAATCCAAGCGAATCCATGTCGTGTTGATCAACATTCTATTTGAATATGTTGTTGATCAACACGCTTCACTGTTGGTGATTGATTTGCGATCTTTCATGTTCATTTATCAGCCATTTACTTGGTTGCTCTGTCAACTTGTTTTCATGGCCAATCTTGGGAGGCATGTAGCACAAAAAAAGTCAAACAACGTTTTGGCTGGTTAGAAAATATTAATATGTATCAATATATCCATTTAGAGTAAGATATTAATTTTTACTATTTAATAGTACCCTTGCCATCATGTCAAGATCAGGTCCAAGGGCATCGTGTGTCTGAAAATAGGGTATACCATGGTATGCCCCCAATGAAACAGCGATAGGGATAGTGAGAAAACTAACCATTGGGTTTAGGGACTTTAGGGCTACACTATTTTCCGACAACCCCATGGTGGTTTCCTAAAATAGGGCTACCCCAAATCATACATGTTTGTCTGGTATTTGCCCATTATAAACCATCCCATTTGTGGAAACCCTCACATATCAATGGGAGATCTTCAGGATCCTAAAATGAAGGTACTTTAGTACCATATTTTTGGCCATATTGTGTGAGGATTTTCTGACATAGGCCTAAAAAATAGGTCAAGAATATGTGGATATATATGGTAGGTACCTCCAATCGGTTCAAGATCTGTAGGAATCGTGCGGTTGAGCCCAGGTGAAAAGGGCTTCCTGTTCTCCAGTTGAGGCGCAACGAAAGTTGCCTGGGCGGAGTGCTCGAAAAGCTGCAGAATTTGCCTCACTGGCGTGTGACAAGTCTTGAAGCGCCGAGTAATCCACAATGATCAAAATGGGTCTGTTTGGAGGAGGGTCGTCACCAGCAGGTTGTCGTCCAGGTCCTGCATACCAAGAACATGATCGGGTACCAGTCGGGATTTGTATGTTGCATGGCCGTTGAACATATACCCTCTGGTAAACTAACATAACTATGGAAAATCACCATTTTTCATGGAAAAAATCCACTATTTCAATGGCCATTTTCAATAGCAAACTGTAAACGTTTACCAGAGGGTAACCACCAATAACCTATGATTCACCACTACTAACCATCACTATTAATTAACCATTAACTAACCATCATTATTCACCACTATTAACTATTACAGACCACCCATGGCATCCCACGTATCTCGCATCGTTCCATCAAAACCCGCGCCTTTCTCGCCACTGCAGTAGGAACCGCAGCGGCCACCTTCGCACTTCCGGGCGCACTCGGTGCCCTGGCAGTAGTAGCCACATTCCAGGCCTGGAGGGTGAACACCCTGGAATTTATGGTTCATGGTGAATTAATCCCAGAGGATCCATGTATGGAATATTTACCTACATTGACCCCTAAAGTAATTTAAAATAATCCCAATGTAGGTAAATATTCCATACATGGATCCTTAGGGAATGGATATCTGGTTGGTGGTATACCTACCCCTCTGAAAAATGATGGAGTGAAAGTCAGTTGGGATGATGAAATTCCCAATATATGGAAAAATAAAAAATGTCCCAAACCACCAACCAGATATACTAATGGTTAATGAATGGTTGTTAGAATATAATTGTTATTAATGCTCATGAATTGTTGATGCATCCTATCAATAGTGGGGTTCGTCATGGTTAATGGAGTTCATATGGGAATTACCATCGCAAGAATCCCATGGATACCATTATAAAGACCAGGAATGTAATTAAAAACATTTAAAAACTAAGATAGATGTGGACAACCCATGGTTTTCCACATCTGTTCGTATGTTTACAGAAGGGAGGCCTACTCAGAGGAGGATTTGTTTCTTATGAATCCTCCAGGCCAAAACGGCGTCTGCTTGCGGATATGAACCACGTATTACCCTCCAGTGAACTAACATAGCAAACTGGAACAGTTCGCCCCATTTAGTTCGATGATTTACCTATTAAAAATGCATAAAAATGCATATTGTCGATAGCTTATGTCAGTTTACCAGCGGCAAATGTACCCTCTGGTGAACTAACATAGCAATTGAAAATGGCCATTTATAGTGGATTTTCCCATTAAACATGGTGATTTTCCATT